TGGTGGTGGTGGAGGGGATTCCCCATTACCGGTAAAGCGCTTTGAGTGGAGTGTCCAGAAAAGCGCTATATAAGTGTAAGCAATTATTATTAATTATTATTATTAAAATGCTGTCGCTCACCAGCAAACTGTAACAAACTCGGGTGGTTGTATGATGCTAGACGAGCAAAAACCCCATGGTCTTGGACCCGTGTAATACAGACGGGAAGGGGTTTGTTTCTGGCAGAGAGAAGTTGTGAAATTCAAATTTCTACCTCCCCAACATCTTAGCGCTTGGTGAAAATGTATCGTGTTTTCCTTGGCTGATATTTTCATGTTTGCTCTCTTTCTCCCAGGTAGACATTTGTATTAGATATTTGTGATCCTAGTGTGTTGTTCTAAGTCAGAGCACATACCAAATTAGGACTTTCACTTAACTCTACGCTGTAATTTACAGCCAATATGGCTCTACCACAGAAACCAAGCGACTTCAAGCCAGCCCAAATTTTCCCTGTGGTGATGGGAATGCACAGGGTAGTCATTTTCAGGAAAGAGAAAACTCTTTTGCTCCGACTGCAGAAGATGAAACCTATAACGTAGTAAATTACCATGTATTCATCTAATGAACACAAACTTGCATTAAAAAAGAATCGGGTACTTCAGCCAAATAAGGGGTTTTACAGTGTACGTCGGAGCAGGGTTTGCAGATGCATTTAAACTGTCTCAAGGAATCAAGGAAAGATGTCTCCGTCTCTCAGTGCACTAAATATTGTGTACTGCAGTTTTTAAAAAACTGTTTTTTATAAATTGGTGCAATACAGCAGTATCTGTTCTGCTTTACTTGGGCTGCTGTCAGCGCAGTTGGAGGACCGGTGTTTACTGAAAGGAACACTCTCGTATGGAAAAATGGTGACCTTGTGCTACAGTTTTTCGGATGAGCGTTAAAACAATGGTTTTGACCTCTTGGCCATTAAAGCCATGGCACTGTTTGTAACAGGAGGGGTGCCAACCCTGGGCCTCCTTCCACTTGTTTCAGTCGATGAAGCAATTTCTCACTTCTTCACTTGATACTCTGTGCAGTGGGTCTACTGGCTCATAATGGTCCAGTGGGCGCTGCACTTAACTGATGGATGAAGTGGATCCCTTGCTTTTACATTAAGCTCTTTAGGATCCTTTAGGTCGAAGGGTGCTCTGGAAATGTTTGCTCTTACCTGCATTAGTTTCATTGTTTAATTGAATCCACATTTGTATTTGGAGGATTTTTTTTTCTTTTGCAAGACTGCGTCCAACAGCTGACGGAAACTCTCGCCGTAAGTGTCGCTAAACTTCAAATCGCGGCCTGCGAGACCATTTGTTTGGCGGGAGCTGGGCAGTACCCACCTGCAACGTGGCGTGCAGGCTGGGAAGATGAAGGACTTGGCTCGTGCTCAAAGCGGGGGGGACGTGGTGAAGTGAAGGACGTGGTGTGCACCTCGGTTCCGCTGCAAGCTGACGGCGGTCTTGTTGCTTCAGGTTGAAAGTGCAGGAGAAGAGGAGGCTGCTGCTGCTGAAGCTGGAGGAGTCCACCAGGCTGGCGACTCGGCTGCATTCGCAGCTGAAAAGGTGACCGTGGCCTTCTGTGACCGGGGGTTGGGCTACCTGTAAAGGTAAAGGGGAGAAGGAGCTAGGGGGCCAGTGGAGCCGGAAGCTGTGAATGAACCCGAACTGAAACCTGAAATCCCGTTGCGAGGTTTAGCTTCCGAAGGGAGATGACTAAATTGCCAGCATCTGTCAGCCACCGGGAGCTGCCTGTGTGGTTCTGCAAACCAATATGTCACACACAGCCCACTGCTAGATTTGTGGAGATCTAATAGGCAGCGTCGAATTTTGTGTTGGATTTCAACTGATGTCAGAAACTTTGTTTGAATTCCTGCTATCATTTAGGAGGGGCTATTTTTATTTTTTTTTAAAAACACACAGCCTCCTTTTTGGTTTCTGCTCCTCCTATGACATTGATTGTCTTAGATTCCACAGCACATTTCATATATTCCCCATTATTGGGCCACACAGTAATTTAAGAGTCAGTGTTGTTTTAGCCTGTTTTTAAAGGGCTCATTTTGTGTTGTGTTTCGAGACCTTTATGCAGCAGGCCACCTGAGAGGAGGTTTTTTTTATCAAAAGTCCCATGTATGCATAATGCATATGGTCAGTTCTTCTTTAAAAACTTACAAAGTGAGATAGCATATGAAAAACAAACCCAAAATGTAATTATTTCTTGTTGGCTATGGCTTTCACAGTGACTTTCAGCAATACACTTTAATTGTCATCCATTCAAAATCCTTTAATAGACAATAAGAAACCCCCCACTATTCTATTGCAAAGATCAGCCTTTTGTCCAGCTTCAAAATGAGGAAGAATATCTTTGCAATGCTGGAAGGACACAGCGAGATGCATTTTAATCCACGTTTAAACTCGAATAGCAAGAAACTTTTAATCCTAAAATGTTTCACTGTATCGGTAGCAAGCACATATTACAATAATGTCATAATTAACTAGATCTTTCATAGTTGTTTCAGAATTTCATGCTTCTTTGTCCAATGTTGATCCAGAAAAAGCATTTACAATGGAACACGTTAACTATTTTTTTTGTCCATTTTTTTTTATTTGCAAATGTTCTTTTTGCAATTCTAAAAGGCACTTCTGCATTTCAAAAACGGGTTCTTTGGAAGTTACACACGCTGATATGAAGTTAAAGCCTAAAACCATTGGTTCTGTAGTAACAATTAGTGTGATACAACATTTCATCAGACGTATAAAGCTTCTGGGCACGTGTCCTGGAGGGTGTTTTAGTGAGAGGCAGCCCGGTCTAGAAATGTAAAGCCATGTCCATCTGTCGCTGTCCCTGCCTGCAGCCTCTCCGCCAGCACGCTGTCTGTATCCTCGGGAAGCAGCCTGGGTTCCCTGGCCTCCAGCCGGGGGTCTCTGAACACCTCCAGCCGGGGGTCCCTCAACTCCCTGAGCTCCACCGACCTCTACTACGGTCAGGCCGACCAGCCCGTGGACCTGGACTACCAGTACAAGCTGGACCTGCTGCTGCAGGAGAAGCCCGCCTACGCCCCCTCCGGGCCCATCACCACCATCCACGAGAACGAGGTGATCAAGCCCCCCGCCGGCGCCCCCCGCTCGCCCGCCCGCGCCCCCGAGCCCCCCAAGTCGGTGGCGTCGCTGTCCTCCAGGTCCTCCCTGTCCTCGCTCTCGCCCCCCGGCTCCCCCCTGGTCTCCGACGGGCCCTCGCTCCCGTCCTCCCAGGACTCCCCCCCGCGGGACTTGGCCGCGGAGCTCGAGGACGGCGGCGTCGCCGGGGACCTCGCGGGCCCGAGCTTCTGTGAGGACCAGATGCTGCTGGACTGCGATGCAGCAGACAAGGAGGACGGCGACGGCGTCCACCCCCCCCTGACAGCCCTGCAGGAAGGAGTGAGGGGTAAGGGCGGCCCTCGGGGCTGAAATTGTACTTTTTTTTGCTGGGCGGCAAGCACATCTTAAAAGGGGCGGCGGCAGTTCTTCTGAAACTCGCCGACTCAGTAGTGCCGTATTGGTCTCTGGATGCAAAAAAATGAAGCCCCCTTGGTGAGCAAGCACCCTTTTCCTTGTGGTGTGGGGGGAGAAAATAAGCCATAAGCTACCATAAGCTACAATCTTCTGTAATTTAGCTCTTCCCTTCGAGATCGCCTCTGATCCCCATGGTGTGCTTGCATCATTATGAATGATCAGGTTAAGCAGTTCACACCATTGCCTTGACAAACCTTTGGGAGTATCCGCGTTTCCTGATTTTCATTACAGAGGCATTTCATTTCATATGCACCAGTTAGAGATAAAACGGCGTCGTCAGCCTTTTCCACGCCACAGACGTTGATTTTTGATGAATGTGCGCAAACGGATCCATTCTGTTTCAGTTCTGTCTAGGGAGCCTAGTGTTTTTTTTTTCTATCGATTGTGTATCGTTTAAAAAAAAAAATCTGATGCATCAGTTAACTCACTTTGGAATTGGGTCAGAAAAGAAAATGAATCTTGGGTGTGTATTAATGTGTGATATGGCTACTACAGGAATACAGCACTAAAAGTGACTCAACCCTTCATGTCCTGGCAGGAGGTGATAGTCCCTGCCAGTAGAAAAAGTCTCTGACTCTGGGCTTCAGAGAGGAGGAAGGGAGGATTTTCAGTGAACAATGACATTAGACTACAGAACAGAGGTGAACACAGGCCACAGAGTTCATCTCGCAAACAACCAGATGTTCACAGCAGCCTATAAAAATACATGAGCACCTCTTACTTTTATTTACACAAAAAATACAACTTCACGCCATAAAGGGTTAAACCAGTTTGCTCATACAAGAAGTGGCACCTGTTTTATTCTCATTTGCTCATTGAATTTGAAGGTTGTGGGTAATTGCTGAGCTCAGACAATTCTCTGCTTAAAACTCATGCACAGTCTTGACTTTTAATAGTGATCAATCGGTACAATGACTGAAGCATCTCTCTCAGCTGTAGGTTTATTGCAGTTTTACACTTAAATTCACATAAAACCGAAAGGGGTTGTTGCCTTATTAAATTCTACCCGTTTTACCAGCGGTTTTATGTAGAACTTAATATTTGGAAAAGTATTTTCAATACATTTTGGCAAAATCTAGTACTTCAGCTGAACATTGTTTGTTCTAACTCTGCTTTGCGCAGACATTTTATTCCAAGAAAAGTGAAATGGAGGCCATTTTCTTATAAACAAAAGACACGTCTCTATTAAAATATGAATAAAACATGGAGGAAAGGTTGGGACTTCAAGCAGAAGTGGGATGATTCTAGGAATGTAGCCCTGTGTGTAGGATTCTAGCTCTACCAGATAACAAGCAATCCATTAATAAGATGTAAGAGAAACTTCTGAAGAAATGTTACATTCCTGAAACTTGAGACACCTCAAATCCTGCAACACATCAAGTCCAGATTAAAGTATTCCCTTTGGTTAGAACAAGTTCTAATAGCTTCAATTTCATTTAAACAATTAATTGGATGATAATGGGATTATGTATTTTTTTTTAAATGTTTGTTTTTAGTATGTGTTTTTTTCCTGTTGCGTTCTGCAGTTTAGCTGAATGTGATATGTATCCTTGTGTTGCACATCCCTGATTAGTCCATGATGTGTGCAGGGAATTTATTCATAAGGAGCTGGAAGATACTTAGTGGGGAAAAATTGCTTTTTGTTTCACGCCAGACAGCCAGCCTTCCGTTCATCTTTTAGATTGGAAAATTGTCCGAAAATTAAAATAATTTTCTTAAACGCCAACAAGAAAAGATTTACCTTCCTGTAAAGGACCAATTCCAATAGAGGAGCAGTAGGGTCATAGATATGTTTCAGGGTCAGTAGAAAAGTACTGTACTTTACTTTACTATAGCTGGCATTGTTTTTGTATTGACCCTCCTAATGTGTACAGTACATGTATATAGTATGTGCACGTTAATATAACTGTGAATTATAGCTTTAGGGAACATTAAAAGAGACCATAATCTTTTTAAAATGTTATCAGCCCCATAGTTCTTATTGGAAGCGAAATTGTTTCTTTCTAAATGAATGTTTTTGTCAAAATGAATTCCGACTGAAACCATATCTACAGCCCTGTTTATTAGGCAAAATCCTTAAACCTTCTTGTGTGATTTAACGTAATGCAGTGAAGATTTGTGGGCTTGTATTTGAAAAACGAAGATTTCCCATTATCCATGAATTTCTTTGGCACCCCTGTGTTTATCCTTTTATTCAGTAATGATTTAATTCTCTGGGAAGCGGGCTTTTTTTCCCCCATGATAGAGGAACCCGTTATTCAGTTTTATTTTATGCTCTCCTGCCATCTACTGGCTAATTTCTTCACTGCAGTTCAACTGCCGACCTTTCCTTGTGAGTTGTTTCTGGAATTGGGAACTATCCAGTGACCTTTAACAGACACACCTGATCGAGTAGTGGAAAATCTGAAGCTGAGCACTGTTTGCTTTAAACCTCCCTAGTCAGCCTAACTCCCCTCTTTCAAAGTTATATTGTCGCAAGATCAATGTTACTGCAGACAGTTCAGATTGGAAGGTATTTTTGTACAAGTAGGTTATAAAGCTGGCTGGCCCAACTCCATACAGACACCCATACGGCTTGAAAACTGCACAGTGGAGCAAAGTCATCTGATCCTTTTACCAAATACACTCTGATCCCAGAGAAAACGAAAATGACCAATTTCTAACAGATCTCTAATGTTATGTTAGCGTTCGGCACTGATGGTGATAGGCTCCCATTTAAGTGTGCACCAGGATTTGGACTGTTTCTTTTTTTAAGCATAAGGTTTATAAGAGCCTCGTCTTTATGTAGTAAGAAAAACACAGTTTATAAAATCTCCAGTGAAGTCTTCTGAGCTCCAAACTATGTACGGTTACCACCTCTAGTCCTCCTGTATTCTGAAAGCCCCTTGTGGACACGAATAAGTTTGAAATGCCTAAAGACTGTCAGGCCTTTGATTTCCTGTGTACAGAGCTGTTGTGATGCAGTAGCTGTGCTTGCCTTGCTTCGCCATGTTGCTGTGGGTGTGCAGTGGCTTTGCCTTCACCCTGCACGCTTTCATAGGAGTTTTTAGTCTTGAGTTCTGCGGCATTTAGAAGCCTGAAAGAAAGGCAGGCAAAAGAAAAGCTGTTTTGTGCGGGTTCTGTCTTTGCAGATGACGATTTGCAAAAAAGGCCGACGGGTCGCCTACTTGAAGAGAAGACGGCGTGCGTCTCCGCCGCCGTGTCGGACGAGTCGGTCGCTGGAGACAGCGGCGTGTACGAGGCGTCAGTCAAGAGGTACGTCTCCTTTGATCAACGAAAAACGCAGAAGAATGTCGTCCAGCGTTCCTCTGATCTTTAACTCCTCTCCGGTCCCCAGACATTGGGCTAGTTTCCAGTTCATTAAAATCGACCTTATTGTGAACATAAATGGAACAGGATGCTTATTACCAGTAAGCTGGAATTTATTTTCAAATTAATTTGGACACCTGGCTGAAAAGCAGAGATGAGACTTTTTAGAATCAATTTAACAGAACACCCGAGGCCCCATCAATGAACAAGTTAAAGCTGACAAGTCTTAAAGCTAAATTCAGACCTAAGACCCCCTCCCTGATTTTAAAGGGAGGGTGTCTTTCAGAATGTTATTAAACACTAACCTGTGTTCGTCTGAGACCAGTCTTTCTCAAGAAAATATTGTTGTTAGATCTATTTTGCTTCGGTTGTGTAACAGTGTACACCACGAAGAAACAGCGTGATTAATCTCTTACTGTTCAGTTGACTCAAACGTGATTAAACAAAAAAAGGTGAATATGGTTTGAAATTTGTGATAAAATACTTTTTTAAAATCAGAACCTTTCTGAATGCTCGGGAAGCTCATTCATCTGTTCTCCTTAAGGCTGGATGGCTTTCATCTGCTTTTGCCTTCAACCCATTTTAAAACCAGCAACCTTCATCATCTATTTCTCCTTCCTAAAAAACTTTTTTTCAGAAGCATTTGGTTTCGCGTTCAGCCCTCGTCCCGTTTGTTCATAATCTGTTTTAATTAGAATTTGCTGCACAGGCCAGAAATCAGCCTCCCCACTGTGCCACACCAGAAGGACACTTTCACTGTGCAATTACTTCCCTCCTTTCAGACAATGGAGTCTAAGTAAATCTGCCCGTATCCCCTTTTCTTCAGCAAGAAATGACTGAAAACTTTGCCGAAGTTTCGTTGGAACTTTACGGAAGTGAAACGTCCTCAGTGCCAGTGGTTTGTTTGGTCTGTGTGGGAGAAGAAGGCTGTGATTGAACTGTTCCCCCTCTGCAGGTCTGTTGAAATTGAAGATGTGGCATACATTGAAGATGACCCAGCTGCTGCTGCAGAGGCTTCTCAAGTCCAGATTGGATTTAAGTAAGATACCCCTAGAAGAAACGTCATGCCTTTTATGCCAGGAGGCGGAATCTGTTGCTCTTTATAAAGAGAATATTAATGGGCAGTCTTTTTTTATTTCCTGTACTTTTGTGTATCCTATAAAAACAAGAAGCAGCTGTAGGAATTTGGGGATTTTGATTTCCTACTGTATGTGCAATCTTGCAAGCCAGACTGTGCGTCTCGTGTTCCTAACCCTCCGTGTGTTCTTCTACAAGAAAGGGAGGCTATGTAGAGTAGGAACAAGCACTGACCTGGGAAAGCTGTCATGTTTTCATCAGAATTGTAAAACAGCACATTTTTAGAAATCTTAATCGGAGACTTATTTTCTCACGGTCATATTTAAAAAGAGGTAGCTGAAAGGTTTGAAGGACTTTTGAGATCATTTCCAAATCAGGTGTAACTAAATATTTTGTGGTTGGACAAAAGGCATGGGGAATCATCTTGTCTTTTCTGAATTTGATTTTTTTTTTGTAGAAGTAAGGTAAACTGCTGTGGATTAAAATGTGACTTTTTTAAAAAATGATTTGTGAAAGATGCATTGTGAAGAACACTTTGCTTGAAAGGCGCTTTATCAAATAGTTTGATTGATTGTACCTCAAATTGGCCTTGAAGTATCCTTCAAAAAGATTTCGTATGTTTGACTGTAGCCTTCAAACATCTAGAAAGACGAGATGCCTTTATCTTTGATTTTGGCATCCTTCCCTTTAATTAAAGATTATAATTAAGGTGCCTTTCAGGACAGAGTCACTTGCAAACTGTACTTGTAAACGTTTTTTATCACAATGTCAACTCGGGCTGTTTTCAGATATCTAATTGCTCTCTTCCTCTGTTGAAGATATGATGCCAGCAGCTCCAGTTTTGTAATAATTGTGTTGCAGCTCCGAAACCAGGCTGCTCTTCTGCTGCCACATGGTACAAAAGTGTAAGTATGGGATAGACGGTTGTCCCACTTTGATTTTATTCACCATAATTATAATTTGGCAGTTCTGCGCGCCGTAGCTTCGTCCTTAAGTGACACCAGCCACCATCAACAGACCCAATAGCTCAGACAGATATAAATGGCTGTTTGGCCAGAGGGAGCCCTGGAGGCAGGTGATACAGGGTGTTGTACTCAAGGAAAGGACAAAGATTAGTGCCACTGGGGGTGCAAAGGGAAGCTGTTGCGGGATTTATACCCTTGCCATCTTCCATGAGCATATCCATTCTCAAGCGCAGCAGGACTCGCCATTAAAAAACTGGATGGATTCCCATTTTGCGTTGCCCGGTTCCATTTCTTCTGGACCCGAGACAGGTGCCATGTCAGCTCAGGCGTTTGTCTCCATCAAGACTTCTTTATTCATCCCCTGCTCTCCCCGCGGTGCTGTTTCCAGCTGGCGCGGCCTGTGTGCGTTCCCTGCCTTGACAGCCGAAGGAGGCCATCGGTGCTTTGCAAAGTGCCCCTCTGGATCCCTCCACTTATTTGTGTGTGTTTACAAAGACGGCAAAAGGCAAATAGAGAGACGTTGGGTTTTGAAAACTAAAACTCAGGAATTCATGTTTTTTTTTTGTTTAATGATGCTCCTCTTAAAATGTCCGAGGCGTGTTTGGGAAGGATTAGTGGTTGCAGTTGTACCTGGAGCTTTTCTCAGGCACAGAGATGTGAGCCGAGGCAGTAGGGTGTCGAACACAGACTGCAGGACCGGAGGTGTTGATTGGACCAGCGTGTAGTGGCACAGCTGGACGTGGTGGTGTCACATTAAAGCACGGAGCATTCCCTCAGGGTTGTGTGAAATACTGCAGAACTCGGCTTGACGCAAACCACAGGAATCCTTTGATTGTGTAAAATGCTCGAATAATGTTGGGAGTTTACACCTGTGTAGTGTAAGTTCATACAATTTAATGAAGTCTCTGCCCAATCTGGTTTAACCCCCTGCGTCTCTCCTCCTCCTCCGTTCTGATTGGAGAAGCTGAGCGCTAGAGAAAGAAACAGGAGTGTTGAAGGACGCAGGGCCGCCTCATGGCCGTCTGGCTGCTGCTACACTGTGCAGTGGGGGCTGAAGCATGTCCCTCCTCCATATCAAGTGCTTTGGGATTAAAGGCGCTATAGAAACTAAATTTATTTGTTGTTTTTATTTTATGCTCAGTTCTCACAGGAGCTGCTGCCATAGAGGTTTGAAGGATGTGACAAAACACACTTCCTGATATAAAAAGTAAAAAACTTGCAAACTAATTTGTGGCCTCGTTATGTGTATACTGTGCTTCGTTTTTTTTGGGGCGATTCTGTGTGTCGTATTCCAGGAGTGATTGCCTCAGGTATGGGTATGTAGGCGTGGCCCTTTTAATATGTTCTTGAAAGTACAGGTTTAGGTCAGCCTCAAGGCCGGGCTAGTCACGTCTTTGCCTTTTTTCGGTGAATTCAGACCCTGATAGAAAGGCCTGCACTCGGTTGTAAACACTATTCGTTTTCACTACAGGTACGTCAGGGCCGCCTTACTTCCGTCTTCAAGTGAAATAAGCTGCTTGTTCCGCACTAAGGTCCACTCTTTCGCTGACGGCATCGCGTTTAACGAAATCTTCAGAGCCACCGTGCCTCAGCTTATTCTCCGGCAAAAGACCCTGAGAATCGACGTGTGCACTGTTGGCAAAGCACGCCATGAGGAGCGTCTGGTAAGCCACGCTAGAAATCCTTTACCCCTGCACACCTGTGTGTTCGTGTGTGTTGGTTCTGAAATAGTCAACCTTTCAGATGGCTTTTTTAATCTGTAAGCCGGTCCGTGCGGATCGTTCAGAAGCGTTCAGCTGTTGTAGGTTTCTGCTGATCTCAGCCTGTGTCATCCACCACGTTCCCAATTGTCTTGGCAGGCAGGAACACAGATCAGTTTGGCGGACGTCCCGCTGAGTGGCGAGATCTCCACTCACTGGTATAATCTACTGATTTGTAAGAAAACCAGCCATCAGAAGAGCCAGGATGAAAATGAAGAAACGTCATTTTCGCCTCCTGATCAGCGCCCCAGCATTATTGTGGATTTGGTAAGTTAGTCTTTCAGTTCAGCTATAAGTGCTGTACTTCACTGTTTTTCCCCCAAAATCTACACCTTATTTTCCTTTGTTTTTTTTTTTAATTTGTTGTTGCTTTTCAAGTTTGGATTTCCAGGGTTTCAGTACAAATGGTAGCTTGTAGGCATAGTGAACCACTTTTGAACCTGGGAAGAAGAGAATCTCTCATTAACACCTAGACCTGTCCAGGATTCAAACCTAGACTTGCCTCCATGCTGTGCGATAGCACCTGTGCCCATCACAAGATTTCTCTTAAATGGGGGCCAAGGTCTGTGGGTGTGAAAAAGCAGCAGCTGGTGCTTCTGATCTTGACGGTAACAGCCAACTCTGTATGTGTGTGTGTGTGCGCACACAGGTATTACTATTTCTGTGAGGACTATATTTGAGAATATGCTCTTACAAAGGATAAGTAACTCCTGAAAAGCAGGCGTGACAAGGACCAGCAAGCCAGTTCGTGACAGGCAATTTTTTCTTTCTCACAAACCATACAAAGTCTCTACAAGTGCCAATAATATTTGATTGTATCTTTGTCCAGTTTGAATTCAGGAGAGTAGGGAACAGTAGCTATAGTGTGGGACTTGAATAAAGTCCAGGAAATGTAAAATAGTGAGTGTGTGACCTTTTTAGGATTGTATTACTTCAAAACGGAACTCAGATGAACGGTGACAGCATGTAATTCACATTAATCTAAGCCCATGTTCCCCGTGACCTTACCAGCGATGAATTCAGAATAAAACTTGAGAACCGGTCACGAGTCTGTGAGACACAGCTGAGGTAGAAACCTGGACTCAGATGTCTTTCTTATTTCAGTACGTGAAGTACGTCTAAGCTTTGTGCTCTCATTTCTGACTGTGTTTTTTTTGCTGTCGTTGAATTCTGACAAGTGGGTCTGGGTTTGAGCAGCAAGTGGTTAGTGTCGCCACGTGGGCCGAGGATGACCGAGGGCGCGGGCGAGCACAGATTGTGTTGTGCTGGTGGCCTCTTACCCCACACACTAACCCTCGTCCTGGTATGTGCCGCACCAACTGTTCCGCTAGGGCCATGTGCAAAGAGTTAAATACCGCCTGCTGGGAGAAATTAACACTTCAGACGGAAGAACAGCTGCTGAAATTTGGATTTATTGTGGCTCGATGTGGTGAGAAGTACTGGTGAAAAAGCTTGGTTCTCAGTGATGGATGGGATCCTCCCCCTTGGCCGACACCCCCCCCCATAGAAGTTACATTTTGAGACGAGCTCTCAAGATGCTGGATGTGACTTTTAATAGACAGCAATAAGAAAGAGAAGAAAAAGCAGTTCGAATTATTTATGTAGCCTTTGTATCCTGCCACCATGCGCCTGGAATCTCTAGGCATCGCTGACAGGAGTGATAAAAGCACCCCCACAAAAATCGGTATCCTGGAAATCCTTCCAGAAGTCTTCATCAATCCAAACAATCTTTTTTTTTTCCTGCGGAGCGCGGATGAGTTGGCGTGTGGCGCGGGTCGATCTCGGTGGCGGGCCGTGGGGGGTGTCGGCGGGCTGAGCTAACCCCCGCGATGTGTGACTCGCACGCAGGACGCCGTGTCGGCCTTGCTCGAGAAGACCTCGGCTGAGCTGGAGGCTGTCGAGCAGGAGCTTGAGCAAGAGGAACAGGAAGGCCAGCTGGCGCCAGGAGAGGAATGGTAATCCCCTTTTTACTGCAAGAAGGACATCAAAGTTTTAGACCAACTTCGGTACAGAAATTGGTTTTGCGTCTCATAGCCTGAATAACGGTGTAGAAAGATTCGTTTGTTGTTCATTTTCCTTTCCCGGGGGGGAAAGAGTTTTTCCCTGCGACACATTTTTCCTGAATTTGTGCATCCTAGTATAATTCTGGTATGGCTGAAGAAGAAATCTCTCTACTTTCATTTTTTTCATTTGACACGTTCCTTCAGAAACAGTGACCCTTTATTTAGAATACAAAAGTAGAATTTCAACACTGTTTAAGCAACAAAGCAAATATAATGTAAAGACATATTTGAGGTTGTGAAGGAAATGTTCTTGGGTTATTCCTTTCTGTTTTCTAGTACCGTCATTTAAGCCAATCGAATTTTTGGACATTTAGTCATTTTATTGAGCCAGGGCAGTTTCTAGGCCGTGACATTATTATTATTATTATTATCCTGGCTTTCAGAAAAGAAATTATAGATGTATTCTTCCTGCCAAGTTTTTTACCTAGCAGATTGATCAAGTAAACAGGGGTTCTTAGGAGTGGTGTTAAGGTGTGTTAGTAGTGGATCAAATGAAAGATTAAATTAAGGAAACCAACCAAAAGAGTGCAAGAGATATTTAGATAGGACTACATTATTTTTTACTTTTATTTACCAGACAAGTCGATTGAGAACAGGTTGTCAATGATAGTGTCTATCAGGAGAGTACCCTGTTTATACACCAGTGCCTTTTACTGGAGAAACCTGAGTGAAGTCGCTTGCGTCTTGAACTCATGACCCCTTCAGTCCAGAGCCCTCCCAACTAATCTCTGCTACTGCTCAAGTAGTGAAGAACTAAGTAGGAATTTAGTCTTTCCTTTGCTGGAAGGAATAGCTTTACACAGTTACAGTAGGAACAAGTAAAGGTTTATTCCCTGCTGAAAAGAGAAGAAAAGAAACGCAACATTTCAGCTGTGGAGCCTTCTTTGGGTGTGAGAAAGAGGATGAAGTTCCCGTTTTCCTCTCGCTCTCGCACCCGAAGAAAGCTCCACAGCTGAAACGCTGTTGTTACCTTTCTTCTCTTTTCAGCGGGGAATAAACCTTTACTTGTTCCTTTGCAGCCTACGCATGCTGACGCAGCTCCCCGCTTGAACTACTTCACATATCTTTGTGGAATAAGAACGTAAGAACTTAAGAAAGGTGACAAACGCTAGGAGGCCAGTGGGCCCCTCTAGCCCATTAGGTAGTCAGTAGTTAGCTGATCCAAGGATCTCATCCGGCTGTTTCTTGAGAGAAGCCGGTGTGTTGGCTTCAGCCACAACCCTTGTCCCACAACCCTCTGGATACAGACGTGCCTCCTGTTCGTGGTGGTTCCTACACCATGTCAGAGTGCTTGAGCGGGGAGCCCTCCATGCTCGGCCCTAACAGCGGGAATCCCGCTTCCCCCCCACCGGTCAGGCTGGAGATCCTGGTCGAGGACGGTGATGAGCTGGAGGCGGGGGAGGAGCTGGCGGAGGAAGACGAGGACCGCGCTGGCTGCGTCCACCCGTGCCAGGGGAGGGAAGGAGAAGACGGCGACGAGGCGACGCCGCCGCCACGGGGTCAGGGGAGCAACGGCGCAGAAAGCGGCTCTTGGAGGGCCGCGGGACCAACGCTGGTGAGTACCGCTGGCATCCTCTCGGCTTTGCTTAACGGCGTTTAACGTAGCGGGAGAGAGGAACCACCTCCCAGCTTCCCTCCGGCCTCTAACGCCAGACCTCAGCGCTATCAATCCCGGTAGTGAAGGATCGACACCCAGGGTTTTCTGGGTGACTTTCGGATCAAGAATTGTTCACGTTCAGAGCTTTGGATTCTCCGGGTGGGATCTACTGTTACCTACACCACAGCATGCTGGTGGCGTTTGCCTCTCTAGGCAGGAGTTACCAGTTAATACTGTGGCACCTTTATTTACTGTATCTGATTGTACTTCCCATTGTATGGACTGGTCATGACATTCATTCCAACAGCAGTCTCTGTAGCACCCTCTCCAGTCTGATTCATTAACTGATTGCCCCCCGATGTGTCTATTTACAAATGATAAAGGCTTTTGACAGACAACTGTACCTCTGAACTCTGACGACACTGCAGCCTGGGATGCTTGTTGTCCTTCATTCTGGCCTTTTGCTCTCTTTAGACATTTCTTTTCCATAGATTTCAGTGGGTCTTCCTGCATCCTAGTAATGCTCTGGTTCTGTTTCTAAGGCTGGATCACTTTTAGTCTCTCAGATTTCATGGAGGTAAGAGGAATCAGGAAAGGATCGCTTTTGTAGGTATTGTGACTATTTCATATCATGCAATGGATCACAATTAAGGTAAACGATTAGTGACCGAATATGCTAAAACTACATGAAAATTAAAAATACTGTGTACTGGTACTGTGCTTCTTTCCAATGTATAAGAGATACATGGAAAAAGCCTAACTATGCAATATCATCTGTACATAAAACATATCAGAAAGACTGCTTTTGAACAATTAGACTACAGACTTGCTGTTGAAATCATCCAGTATCTTTTTGCAGTCCTGAATCATCCAGTATCTTTTTGCAGTCCTGATATATTGTCAATGGGGCCTTATCTTTTACTCTCCACTATGCTAAAAAAAAACCTTTCTTTATGAGAGTCTCAGTGCTGTGCTGAGAATTGAAAATCAAATGTCTACTTTGATCTCAATGTCCAGTCAAATCCTTTACCTGATAAATCAAAAAATCAGCCCCTGGGAGTCTTTCTTTACTAAATCTCAAGATCCTTCAGGCAAAAGTGTCACATTTCTTCAAAGACTGACCTTCAGTCCCTCTATTCCTGGAACCATTTGTAAAGCAAAGCTGAAAAAGTTTATTAGAACAAAAATAAAATGTTATCTTCTTGGCCTGCAGAGATTCATCACATAATAGATAAATATCTTTATTAAAAAGTAAAATTTAGATCTTTAGTAGACAGTGTTGCAAGCAAAAAAAACATACTTTTAGGTAATGGTACTCACAAATCATCACTTCAGGTTACAGGTGATGATTTAATCATTTTTGGTACTACAAATTAAGATTGTATAAATGATTAATTTAAGCCTTGAAATTTTGTGTACTTTAACAAAGTGTTTTATATTTTGAAAATATACTGAATATCAAATGAAACATTCCATGATATCTATTCATGGGTGATTTCAGAAGAAAAAAATTGTGCTCATTTTGATTAATTGGTCATTCATGACTACACTCAAGACACAATTCACAGAACTCTTGTTGATCAGCTCTTTTCATTGCAAATTAATCTGCAGAAGGAGTGTTACCTATTTTAATTGTCTGTTTGCATGAAATAACGATGAATCCACTATACAAAAAGACAGTCATTTTCCTGATTATAAACTTGTGAATTTGTTGCAGCTATAAGTGGTTTCTTTTCATTCACAGTAGAGCACAGACATGTTCCCACCATCTAGGTTATATTGTCGGCCTGCTGAAGCTTTGCTTTTGCAAATAGTAGCATTTAATTTAAGTTTTTTTTTTCAGGTTGACAAAGAGACGAACACAGAGGATTCTGCTCCTGAGAATGTGGCTGTCAGACCCAAAGACAGGAATAACCTCAGCTGCAGGCAGAGGCCCTTTGTGCGGAATAGCATGATTGTGCGATCGCAGACCTTCTCACCTGGAGAACGCAACCAGTACATCTGCAGGGTGAGTCGAGATTTTAATTCCGTATATACATACTGCTCTCTCTCGTCCTGACACCCTTCCAGTGTAGAGCAGCCTGAGATGCCGTTTCTTAAGCAGCACCTGCTTTAAGACACATTTCATCAGTGCTGCAGAGTGAAAGCCGGCTATCCTCTGGGATGCCCTTATACATGAGACTTTATGCCTCAATAACCTACCTCCCCCCCCAAAAAAAAATTGATTGCTAGATGTAAGTGACAGACTTCCAAACATTCGTATTACATCTCAGATTATTATTTTTTAGATGAAGTACATGATGGCTTCTTGACAGACCTGCTCCATAAACTGTATCCGGAGTGTGTTCTAAATTAATTTTCCAGAAGGGTGACAGCGGTTCCGTGAATCACAAATTTAATATAAATCGAGTAAACTTTTTTTTTAAAAAAAAGCTTACCAAACAAGACTCTTCTGCTCCCTTCTTTGACAGTTGAACCGTAGTGACAGCGACAGCTCCACGTTGGCCAAAAGGTCGCCTTTCGTCCGGAATGCTTCCGAAAGGCGCAGCCTGCGAGCGAAGAGGGTAAGTCGGTCGTATCCGTTCCCGTCCAATGGGATGGCCATTTTTCAGGTTTTTTTTTTTTTTTTAACATTTTGCTTCAGTTCGTTGTGGTCTGAGCAGCGGTGCCTAACACTGACATCCTTGCGAACGGCGATGACTGCTCGAGAAACCGCCACCACTACCCCCTGAAGGAGCTACGGGCCTTAAAATAGAAATAATGTTCTGTGAGACGCTTCGTCTGAGAAGGGGGAGAGGGGTCCATGAACCCCTTTGTGGTGGTGGTGGTGTTGTTGTTGTTGTTGTGAGAATGAGGCTGGGAAGTTTGCTACCCGCTTGCCTGACTCCTCTCTCCCCGAACGGCAGACCTTCTGCCAGCCGGTGGTTCGCCGCGCGGCCCAGGACCAGCCCGGGCGCACCTCCCTGGACCTGGAGCTGGACCTGCAGGCCTCGCGCGCCCTGCACAGCCGCCTGGACGACGAGCTGCAGGCGCTGCGGGGCCTGCAGGAGAGGCTGGAGGCCCTGAGGGCGCAGGGGGAGACGGAGCTGCCGCCGTACATGCTGGAGGACGAGCGCTTCCACAGGCTGCTGAGGCAGGCAAGTGTGGGGCTGGGGGGGTGGGCCCCTAGCTGGACGGGGCGGGGCTGGGGTAAGGCGGGGGGGGGGAGGGGCGCCCCCCCTAGCAGGGGCTGGGGGGGGCAGGCTCCTTGCGGGGTTGGGTATGTGGGGGGGACAGCCCCCCTAGCGGGGTGGGGTTGGGGGCGGGGATATCCCCTGGCGGGCTGGGCTGGGCTGGGGTGGGCGGGGGGGGGGGTGGGGTTGGATGGGGGCAGGCCCCGCTGGGGGCGGCCTCCTCGCAGTGTGGGGTATGTGGGGGGATAGCCCCCCCCGTTAGCGGGCAGGGGACAGTCCCAATCAGGGCGGCAGGGGATGGCTCCCTACAGGCTGGGGGTGCAGGGATGGCCCCCTAAGTGTTGTTGGGGAGGACCAGGGTGGGCAGCATCTCTCGCGTCTTGGTCTGCCCTCCCACCCTCTCTCCCCCGGTCAGGGCTGCGTCTTGGCGATGTTGCGAGAAAGGAACTGTTTTACAATTCCAGCCGGGTTTGAGCTCTCTTTGTCCAAAATTCCTCTCGGCTGCAAGCCAGCGGACGACATGCTGGATTTTGGAGCAGTTCCTTCCAAGAAAGAGCAGAAACTGGACTTTAACAACCCTTTACAAGACTGAGAGGGTTGGGGGAAAACTATAACCATTTTTTTTTTTGCATTAAGAGTTAAGGGACCCCTGCCGTATATAATTTTGCAGTAGCTCACCCAGATACAATGAGGTTTTTGGTGAAAATTATCATTTTTTCGATCTGAATGAAAGGTAGTTTTTAAATCTTTCTGCAGCATTAACAGTGCTCAGCAGACAGCCCTGAGACTGCTAACAGCTAGAGACAGGCATTTGAGGGGTGTATGTAATTGTCTGATACCTTAAAAGTGACTGGTTTGTCTGTTAAGTGTTATAAAATAGTGCTTGTCGATCACCTTATTTGCACTAATAATGTTCACCTCATTTCCACTGCATCCTCAATCTGGAAGCTCAGCTGTGCATTTTGCAGGAAGCTAATTGAACTTACCAAGATTCTGAGCACTTAGTAGGGGGGTTCAAGTGCCTTCTGTCAGGGTAAGGCATAGATTTCTCCTATATCTTGGGTTAAGTTATGAAACAGAGATGCAGAGCTCTTGAACAGCACCCGCTGGCAGTGAACACACTTGAAGAGCCCAGCCGTGACTGTGAATGTGTGCTGGTGAGGCCTTTAAAGTGAACAGCAAAACCTTGGGCTGAGTATAGTGCCCTAGGGGTACTGGGTGATGGTTGATTAGGTACTAGAGTTCCCAATCACACAGTTTTTCACCATGACCTCATCAGTGCCAGTTTTGCAATAGAACTGGACTGCAGACAGACCTGGAGAATCCTGTCTGGATCGCAGGTAGTTTGAGTATGGAAATTGGAACGCAACACTCACATAATGTGAAAAGATACTTACAAATGTTGGTATAGAGCCTTTATAAACTTGATTTTTTTGCACAGAGAGCAGTTAATCAGAGGCTTAATTAAAAGGCTACTTTTAAAACACCCAGAAATGAAGTGGAGAATGACAGTAACCGATTGTCACTTAACAACTTACCATCTGCCTTGTGACAACTGCACTGGAATCGGAGTGTACTAGGCTAGTAAACAGGGCCAATGATGAGCAGTGTAGTAATGGGGTAAGACTTCACAATAATGCTGTAGCTTCTGTTTTTTATAGACAAAATCTTCAATCTTCAAGACGTGTACTGCAAGAGACGGCCCCTACTTGTAGGACTGAGTTGTGAGACACGTTTTCGGTCATTAAGTTGAATTTAATTCCTTTCCGAACAGGCTGAGCAATCAAAAGAAGAACTAAAGCAGGGGCTGAAAGCAGAGAAGCTGATGAGAAAAGCCTCGAAGGACGTGTGCAGGCTCCGAGAGCAGTCTCAGAAAGTCCCCCTCCAGGTGCAGTCGTTCAGGTGAGCTGGAGAGTGATGCTGGTTCTCTGAATTTCTGTGGCGCTCTGCATCCGAAAGGGTCCGACACGGCTTCGTGTGTAGGAGGGACCCCTATTAGTCCGCTAACAAAGTGCAGCTCACATTGTGAGTCAGCAGCCCCCACCACATAGCAGCACTCGTGCAAAACGGAGAGATTTCTACACCAGTGGAATTAAGGGGATTGTAGGACGTCAGGACCTACAGTTAAAGCCTCATCTGTTTCATCGAGTGGGGGGAGGGGGACGTTTGAAAGCTTTCATTTGTGAAGCATCTGTAGATCTTGGGTAGGACTTCGGCCAGGGGATTGTCCTGGACATCCTTCCTGTGAGAGCCGCGTTGCCTTCGAGGAGAGCGTGTCACCCAGCTCTTCTGCGCTGACAGGGAGAGCTCCTCTGACCTTTTTGCTGGGTTTCAGGAATAACTGAAGATACAGTTAGAAGTTCTACTGGTAAATTTGCCTTAAACACAAGGAAGCTTCCTCACCCTTGCACAGTGCACCAACAGGTGTTTCGGTTTCAAGCGGCCGGCGCTTGCAGCCCGTGGTGATGGGGGATTTCTCACGCTCTTCCTTCTGCTGTTTCCTTTGGAGAAAGTCAGGCTGGTCTTGAGAGTGGAAAGGGCAGGATGGAGGCTGAACGTCTTTTTTTCATACTGCTTTTCCCAGCTAAGGAAACCAAAATGAAACCTACAGATACAGCTGTTCTGTGCGCTAATTAACGGGGCTAATTAAGCATGATTGGGGATTGTCTTGGCATTCGTGGTTTGACTCTGTCGTATTTTAAGCCTACATTGCTGTTTAATATTAAATGCAAAGCTCAAAGCTGTCATTGTTGTGCCTTTTATATTAAATGTCATGGTGATAAATTGAGCCTCCGATAGTAGGTAGGTTACAGGCTTATGAAAAATATATATCTCGTTTCAGCAGCCTTCCAGCTCTCCCCTTTGTCAGCACCCAGGTGAATTGGAATGGAAATGATTGGAATGTATTTAATGAGTAAAAAAATAGAAGAAAATAATAATAAGGCAGCTTTCGTTTGTCTGTTTTTCCTCACCGGGACTGGGGCGCTTTGTCCATATTTGTTCTTTCGTGACCCTGGGCAGTGGAAAAATTGTGAGTGTGCGGGGGCGTCATTTTGTTACAGCCCCTTCTGTACCACAGCTGCGTGGCAGAAACTAGATGTGTCATGGAGAGACTTGCAGAACCAGGTGCGACAGTTCGCACAGGGACTGCACCCTCTGTTCTGATCGAGTTCAGTGAGCGAAGCCCAGTACCTGCACCTTCGGCGGCTTTTTCCTCTCAGACGAGACGTAGGTCTGTCCTTTGGTCTTCTTTGTCTTATCGATGTGGCTCTCTCCTCGCTCGAAAAGCACGACCTAAAATGCGTCGCGGGAAGATGAAGTTGCGTTTGTGCTCTCCGTCTGCTGACTTCTCGGCTCTTAAAAAAACATAATTAGCTCCTTCCGGCTCCAGGTTTTCCGGAGTGATTGAAGGAAGGAGAAAGCTGGACAGGTGAGGCTAAAAATGAAACTTAGCTTTGTGAATTCATAAAGCTGCTGTAATATTTAACAGGTTCGTAAAACTGGAACTGACACATCTTCAGGACGCTATTCTTAGATTTGTATTCAACTCCATCCCTATTTGTTTATGTATTCAATCAGGTAGCTTCTTTAAATGTGAAGCCTTCACATTTATGATGACGCGGTGCATATTTTCCTCCCAAAATTTCAACATGCTGCTTATTTTAGAAACTTGATTTTGACTCTTGATATTTAATTTCCCCAACATAAAAGGTTTTTTTCACAATCTCTTGGGGGGATTTCTACTTTCTTAGGGAAATGTAGACCTGACATTAAAATCTGTATATGTCCTAACCACGCTTTCTTCTTCTGTCTTCAGGGAGAAGATGGCCTATTTCACGAGAGCAAAGATAAATATACCAACTCTACCAGCTGATGATGTATGATTGTTTTATAGAAAACAATGAAGTATTTTTCCAGCTCAACTTTATAGCTGAATATTTTGATAGAGTAGCTATGTGGATTAAAATATATATTTTAAATAGTTAAATACCATAGCGATAATGTATTTGTATAATAAGTTGTAATTGAATACCATTATGTAAAAAATGGGTTTCTTTTTTCAGAGAAAACCAAAGTAGAGTAATTCTGACATTTATGGCTAATAATGTTTGTACAGTTTGTATGTATACCTGACATGGGTTTATTTTGTAAAGTTGGGTTACACGAACGATGTGCAGGGCAGATTATGCCTTCTGTTGAACAGCACTGCTTTCAGAAATAATATTCCGTTTGACAGAATGGTGTTCTGTTGTCTTCACCGTTTTCCTGTGTGTAGATTGTGAAACCGGGCCAGTGGCCACACAGTGTTGTCGACTGAGGGTGTGCGTCTCAGTGTTAAGTACAATATCAGCAAGCACTTCCTGTTGTAGTTCCCGCCCTTCCTGTCCTTCAGACTTGGTGCTCAGCTGTTCAGCGTCATCTTAAAGGCCTTTCCAGTCCAAGTGCAGAAACCGTGTTTCGAACAAAAAGCAAATGTTGTGAATGTATAGTGTTATTTTCTGTTTTTTTTTTGTTACTGCACTGATTTGCATTTCCATTGATCTTTTTTGTCTTTTTTTTTTTAAATTATGTTCTGCACCTTTAATAAGCCCCCACTGTGTATCTATCGTTCGGGATGGGGGTTCGATTTCCTGTTCTATAGCGGCAGACACAGCGCCAGTAAAAACGGAAAAGCCTTCTTCCATGACCCGCGATGTTACCGCGCTTTTTAAAAAAATCATTCGCTGCCTTTGTTCATGTCTATGTCTTTAAAACGAAAAAACCTTAAGTAATTAAATAAACCTAAAATAAACATCATACCCTTGTGAAATGAAGGATTTCAGTTTTGCAGTGGTTTAGTTTAACATAATAGCACAGCGTAATGAGTGAGTTTTTTTATCAAACCCATTTATTCTGCATATATATGTGTATGTAATGTTGTTTTTTCTATAAAACCAGCAAGTACCTTCATGGTGTGCTGGAACTCCAGCCTTGAGAACAAAAGTCCAAACAGTTCTTGTCAATTTTTCATTACTATCCCAGTCTTTTGCTAACTTAATAGGCTGACATTTTTATTCCCCTTTTCAGTTACACTCGTGTATGAGGCTGGGTATTCTCCTGGAGGAATCTCAGGGAGGCACCTTGCTCAAGGGTGCAAAAGCTGTGCCCCATACTCACCTGAGATTTAAACCCACAGCCTCCCAATTATGAGCCCAGATCTCTAGCCACTATTTCTCACTGCTGTCAGGACACTGCTGCAGCAGATCTGTTGTGTACGCTTGGCTCTGCAGATTGAGGGAAATGCACACATGATGTTCTACTTGTCATTATAAATAGTTCTTTTCAGAACCAGTATACATTGGTTAAATGTTTTTTTTTTTATCAAGAACAGTTAACCGAGGTTGAGGCATCCACTTATGATCTTAACTGCTGTTGTTTTACATACCTGGCAAGTACTGTTTATGTTTTATTCAGCTGAATAGGTCGTTGAATGCTGTGGAGCAAAATTATTATTATTTTTTTTAAAAGAACAAAACATATCTAAAACTTTCAATCAGAAAGTGTAGGAATTCTGTAAGTGGCCTTTGTCTAATATCAGTGTAAAAAAATTAATGAACTTGAACTATTTGTAAGAACTACAGTGTGCGGACTTAGTGATCTCTACATTTGAATCTCCCATTTAGGAGTTACCATGCAGGAGTCTAGTATGGTCAACATGTCGCAGACAATTGTCGCAGACATTGATCATTGCAGGGCAAAATGCAGAACTACTACAATCCATTAAATTCCACATTCAGCACATTTTATCAGGGAGCATCCTCTTGAGAGTGTGTAAAGTTAAGCATTGGCTTAGTTCAATAATCTTTACCATTTGCAAATGATCAAGTGTAAGTTAATTCCACACTTAAAAGTATAAGGAAATAAAAACAAGGATTTTGGCTGTGGAGCCTTCTTCAGATGTGCGATTCAAATGAAATGAAGGTTGCTGTTTAAGCTTGCCAGACAGCATGAGTTGTAAAATGTATGTAGAGATATTTTGGTAGAACTGTTCCTTTTGATTTATTTTCCATTTATTTATTTACTGTATTTATGTTCAGTTATGTACAGTTCAGTTCTGGACATTTAAAAGTTATTGTATTAACAGTAGAGAGAGCTACAGCCTCCATATTTTGAAATCCTAAATCATAACATTGAAAGTATTAGTGGCGCACAGAATTGTGTATATCTCCCATTATAGTATTCCAGCCTTGTTTTTGTTAAATATTATAGCCTTGACATGCATTATTTTTCAGCTTTCATCACTAAAGAGCTTATTTTACAATTGAATTTTATATGCATGAAAATGTTTTCATGAGCTGACCACTGCAAAAGTGTAATTGATGTCAGTAGTTATGATTAAAGGTTGTATATCTACATCAGACATAAATGCCAACAGAAGTTTCAGTTTTTGTAACTATTTTGTACATGCATGAATTTAACATATTTTTAGGAGAATCACAGTTTTACTACTTTTTAGAACATGTTGAAATTGTTGCACCTAATCATGTTGTAACAGGATAAAAGCCTGGGTATAATTTAACCCAAAAGAAAAGCTCGACCTTGTATGGTTAAAATGTTTCTTACATGGTTTGCAAGGTTTTCAAATAACGGAATATGAAATGCTCAGAACTGAACTAGGTTATGAAACGTAATGTCAGCATGTATGTTTGTGGTCCAGTTTTGTTGCAGTCTGGAATGTGCTGTACAAATGTTAGAACACAATGTTTATCCTCTTCTCTGCACTTTTCATGTGTTCCAGTGATTGGTAAAAAATATATACCATTTTTAAACAAACCACATGGAGTTGGGAGTTCTCATTTAAATCACAGCTTTATAAATCGGCATTTTCCTCATAACGGGTGAAGAATTGCCCCGTTCACATGAGCTTAGAAAAAAATAATGACCCTCAGTCCCTTTCCTATTTTGAAATCGCAGAGGAGCCTTCAGCTGTTTCCATTGTGGGCTGATTGATTGAGCCATTAGCAGTCATAATTGACAGGTAGACGCTTGTGATGATTTAGCCTCTCGAATTAGTTTACTGCTCAGAGGCATGACAGTTGTCAGAGGCGAAGAGGTGGCAGAAGGTGAAGTAAAAAAAGATTAAAATAGAAGATTCTAAGCAAACAAGCAAATGAGGCTGCTAATAAAAACAATATCCTCAGTCATGTCCTAAACAGCCCCCTGGGGTCTGCTGTTCTGCTATGCCTGCTTGAATTTGCCCATGTTAATATCTTCCCTGGGATGCAGTCTCCAATGTTTTCCATCATTCCAATGCCTTGTTCAATACTGCCTAAAGCTCGTACAACAACTTACTAATCAATTACTTGAAATATGTCAAGCCAGCTCGGAGGAGGTCACTTCAGCTGAACTGCTGCAGAGAAATTTTCTTTCTATTAATTGAGCAGTTTTTGAAGTAGTTATCTGCGCTTCTGCGGCTCAAATTGAGCCTGACGTTCTGAAAGACACCTCTGTAAGAAAAAAGCCTTGCGTCTTAAGTGGCTGAATGTTCGATCCTTGACTCCGTTATTAGTCGCTCGAGGAAGAGAACGATGGAGAAATATGAGGTTGAAGAGGAGCGGCATTGACGTTCCTTCACTTGATCAACACGGGTGTGCGATCAGAAACGAACCCATCGTTCCTTGAGTAGAAAGCAGAGCGGTAAGCTTTACATCTTCAGACATGCCGTGGAATGTCTCCCTTAGAATGTACTTTAGGTCAGCTGTGTTGACGCGTCTCGGTGAATTTTCAGGTTCACAAAACCAGCTGAGTGGAGTAAGTAGTGCAGACATGAGGAGCCCCATGCCTTCTTGCACAGACCTTGTGGAGAATCTAACGCCACAAGCACACACAGCAGGTGAGATGGGAAAAAGACGGCCTAAGCAAAGCAAAGGGAATGCATTATGTTAGTGTTTGCTAATGAGGGTGGATGAATGCCTGTATGAAAACAGGAATCACTGCCTGTCCTGGAAATACTGAGTTCCACTCTCATGTTCTCCTTTTGAACTTGCAGGCATACTGCTGTCCGTACAAGCATGCAGCATCAATTGCATCAGCCAAGATTCTGTGTAGCTTTGTTGTGTTCCAAGCCCGAATAAAAGCCTGCAATCATCTGCAACAGCTAAACAGCTTTTTATCCACACCAGCTTGCACTGGAAATGAGGAAACTGAAATAGTTCAGTGCAGATCGGTTCAAAGTGAGGCAATTAACATAAAAATTCAAAAGAATACGGTAACTGGAAAAAAAACAATACGAGGCAAATCATATCCACGGACAGTGTCAGTGACACGGACAGTGTCATTTATCAGCGGCAATATTCTTGTATAGATTTTTATAAATGTATGAGGGGAAGAATTCAATCAGCAGGCCCTCCTGTTCTCCATGCATTCAGGGTGCACATCTACAGTGAGTGTAAAATGCATTTTAATCATCACTAAATTCTTCATCACATTTTTATTGCAGCCTTGAAATAATTTTGTCCATAGGAGTAAATAAATCAAATTTGCCAAATGCTTTTTTCAACAAAAAGTTACATTGTGATAACATTTATATTTGTCTCATTCAAATATTTTTTAATTCAGGCAGCCTCCATCTAGCTTCCATCCGGTAAGGTTACAGGCACACCCAGTTGCGATAGCTAGGTTAGTTAGGCTGGCAGATTCCATCTAATTTAAAAAGCACTAAATAATTGTAATAATTCCTGACACGTATATAGCACATCCCTGGACACTCCACTCAAAGCGCTTTACAGGTAATGGGGATCCCCTCCACCACCACCAGTGCGCAGCCCCACCTGGATGATGCGACGGCAGCCATAGTGCGCCAAAACGCTTAACACTCATCAACTCTCAGTGGGGAGGAGAGCAGAGTAATGAAGCCAGTTCAGTAATGGGGGTTATTAGGAGACCATAATTGGTAAAGGCCAATGGGAAATTTGGACACTGGCCCCTACTCTTTATGAGAAACGCTCTGGGATTTTTAATGACCATGGGGACTCAGGACCTCAGCTTTGTGTCTCATCTAAAGGACAGGGCATGTTTTACAGTATAGTATCCCCATCAGTATACTGGGGCATTAGGACCCACACAAACCACATGGTGAGCACTCCCCACTGATCCCACTAACAACAGCAGCCTCAGCTGTCCCAGGAGGTCTCCCATCCAGGTACTGGCCACAGTCACACCTGCTGAGCTTCAGTGGGTTTCCAGCTGTAAGATGAAGGGTGATGTACCTGCTGGCAATAATTGTGAGTACAGCTAAGCAGGTTCTCCTTTCTGTATATACAGCATGTTAGGTTGTGTGGCTGCCGTGAAAGGAAAGGCTGACATGTTAATAGACCCACTGAGCTGATCAAATCAATCAAAACTTTCAGGGGTGGAGAAGAGTCCCTACACTGGATTGCTGTCACTGTGGAGGTCTGGAGTTTTTTATTTATAACCAACCTTGAATGAAGACGGAGAAGAAATTATTTTACCTTAATTTGGAAAAGTGTGCTGCTGGGGTCAGCTTTTTAAAAGGCATTTAAAGTGATACAACAGGGATGGTTAATTCATTTATTTAAATACAGCATTTACATACTATCGCAGGGTGTCTGTGATAAATGTGATTGCATATCTAAAAGAGAAATTGATTTATCGTGCCTTAGTTTAAAATGTCAGTGTCTTCGCCAAAACAAAATGTTGCATGTTGGCATTTTTCTGCAGCCTGACAAACTCACAGGTGTGTAATCGCAATGCAGCCTTAGATGTGTGTGTGTGTGTGTGTTAGACAGGATGAGACCTTCGGTCATTGATGCTTATACAGAAAAGGAGATCCTGTGCCTTTATATCTGTATTCTACATTAGTTCTCTACATTGAGTACATCCCAGCCATCAGACAGAACTGCGGAATACCAGTCTAGAGGATATACAGTAGTCCACCAATTTAGTTATGAGCACAATTTCATTTTTTTCAGGAATGTGGATTGGAACATTTTTATATTGCATGACAACAGCACAGCACTAATATTCTGGATGCAGGTCCTGGTTCATGGTCTAAGGCTATGAAATCCCCTGATTGACAGGACCGCATGCCTGTGAGCACCCGGGAGGCTACAGGGGCCACTGTGCAGAGCCCAGAGAGCCCTGGCTGACTAATCCCACACTATCCTCGGTGAAGCTCCACTGGCTGTGATGCTCACCTGTTAGGGAAGACCCAGTGACGGTCAGCTGACGACAATGGCCCAGGCTCGGACCCGTGATCACAGGGTTACCAGCTGAACCAGGTCTGCACATGGGGAGAAAGGTCTGAGATGAACTACTGTAACTTTTCCCCTAGCTCCCAAAGGGAGTGGGGTCAGCCCGGCATTGTGCGGCCTCGCTCTGGTTAACCATAGAGGTCTTGGGTATGTGAAGCTACTGAAGTGGAATGAGAAAGAAAGTGCATTCTTAATGAGGAAAATTAATCCCATCTCAAAGTTTTGTGCTAGAAAGTGTCCTGCAGTTTTACACTTGATGATAGAGGAGAGGATGAAACTTTAAAAGTAGGAAGTGCTCCTATATTCTAATTGGGAACACTTTATTTTAACATTTAAATGCGACTTTTGTACTATACATGATTACCACTGGATTCCACTTCCCTTGTTAGCGTTGAGAAACAATGGCTCCAACCTCTTGTTCCATAAGTGATGGGCGGCTGATCCCCTTTCACTGATTAATAGCGCATTTTGGACATAAAAGTCAAACTTTCCCATTGCATTCAGACAGGAAAACCCCATTGTGAACGTCACACTTCCTTTCTTTCTCATTCTAATGTTCTAAGCTCTCGCAACTAATCTCAAAATAATAATAAAAATGTATTCGTATTTTGACTTACCGGCATTACACACGGATATCTGTGAGAAGTGTTCTTTGGAAAGGCAAAGACGATTGTTGTTTATATCAGCATCCACCAGTGAACAAGAACAGAGAAAGACCCCGCGCAGAACAGCCAGAGGATTACAGAAACACAATCCTGGATTTCCAACCACATCTCTCTCTTTTGAAAGAAATGGAGTTGAAAATTAAAACTGTTAAGTCTGCTCCGCATTAAAGCTTTTGCCCCAGCAAGAGTGTTGTCTTATCTGACTCCAGTAACTGCCAGGGTGGGGAGAAGGGTTGATCAAATTATTTCTCAGCTGAAGAGCAGAAGCGCTTGGTGGAATTGTTCTGCAGCTAATGTGGCCTCTGTAGCCATGCAGATTGAACCAACGCTTTCATGAATCGGTCCGTAGTCCCAAAGCGAGATTACTGAAGCCGCTTTGTGTTTGCGAAACCCACTGTTGCTGCTTGTAATGAGATTGAAGCTTTATTGTTGTTCTAATGGCATGTTTCTCTCCAAAAGTGTAATCGTTTGCAGAGGAAGGGAAAATCATTTGTGCAATCAACGCAAGATCTTTCTTCTGCCAGTACAGTTGAAACTCGGATACCTGTCACAAGGAGTTTTACGTGGAAGCAGGTATAACACTCTTCAAGCAGCAGCAACAAGAGGTAAACAACAAAAATAGTTCACTTCCTAATCGCTGCATAACACCAAATCTGTGTGTGTCTGTAGCAAATCTAAAAAGCAAAGTCCAGGCATATTAATAACTTTGTGATCGGTGGTACAGGTTTTGGTTTAACTGCTCTTGCACTGTTTGTAACTGAGACAAGATGCAGTACTTCCGAGAAATCACACTTATGAGGCCTAACATAAAAATATATACTGTTATACAGACATCCGGTGTAACATGTTTGTCTTCTGTTGTTTGTTCTGTTTCTACATCCGGTGTAAGAAAGTT